AGTAGTACAGTTTGATTCCTATGAAAGTTGCTGGGACAGAGAAGAAACTGAAGCTACATGTCCTGTATCTCAGCCCTGATAATGTATCCACTGGAGAATCTTTTCTTCACTTCACCTAAAAAGCCATTATATATATCCAAAAAAACCCCAAAAAAAACCCAAAACACAACACAAGAGTTCTAGTTTCTTATTTAGTATTTAGTGGTCTCAAAGGAATAAAACTCTTTTCCCCTTGCTGCTGTCACCATTCTCAGCTCCCCATTTCTTTCCAGTGCCACAGCAGAAAATCTGTGCACAGAATGGAGTCGCTAAAGGTAAATTATGCTTGGCCAGCCTGGTCATTAGAAAAGAGAAAAATGTCATTAGCAGTACCTAAAGCACTCTGAAATCAGCAAATGTTCCTGCTTATGAAACAACCTTTAGAATTTTAACTGGTCTGCTTCTATCTTCTTTGAATCTAATGAATATAAGGGCCATCTAGCCCAAGACAATTTTTTCAGCAGATTGGAGGGCAGATGGCTACAAAAAAGTATGAGAATATAGAAAACACAAAATGATATTTCCCAAAAATACTCTCTTAGCAACCACAAATTGTCATCTCAGAGGCTTTCTGAACCAGAGAGAGTGTTTGGTTTTTCACAGCCATTGGTGGATTTCTCTTCCATGAATGGCTTTGAAATAGGATCAAGGTACAAGGCAGAGACACCACTACATTTACCTATCTAAATGCAGGGGTCAATGGAAGAAAAATGTCATGAAACAAAATTCAACTTTTTTTTCTTAATGCAAAATGCACTGTTTTTCATGCTGATGGTACCACAGTCCATAGTCAGCTAAAAATTTTAAGTATGTTTTTTTAATTTCCATAATGTGGATACATCAGAGGAGTCATGCTCTAGCACTATACATTACAAGAGTCTTCATGAAGTCAGTGAGTTTCCCTGCATAAACCACAGGAAAATTTGGCTCACCATCGTTTCCCCTGCTTGAGATTTTCTTGATAAACAAGGCTGTAAAGAAATACTGCATGTATTCTTGAGCTATAGATAAAAATGATGAAGGTTTTTGAAGAGAATTTGCTCAAAAAATGTCAAAGAAAAAGAACTGCATGCTCCATGTTGTAATTAAAGGAGTTAAAGAGTATCTTGGATAGCCTTGTATGATGTTAGATAGTACAATTTTATTCTGTTTAAGAAAGTTTTCTACCCAACTTTATCAGGCTCCACAAAATTTCAGTATGATATTTTAAAATCTATCTAAAACAGCAAGAACACAGATATGTGCAACACCATGAATATAAATGCAAGCTATTTAAAATATATCTAAGCGAGCAATCCAGTAACAATCTGATCATGTAGGAGAAAAACAGATAATCTGAATTTGTCTATATCCATGTCTCTCTCTGTAAATATCTATCTATGCATACTCATAAATATTTCATCTGGATCTAGCTGGAATTTGGATTCAGCTCCTAACCTAGATGGGCAGAGTTCACAAATTGCCTGTTCAGTGATCCTTCTTTGTTTTGTAAGTGTGTAAGGATGTGATTCTCACAACCAATAGAGACTCAAAAATCCTCAAAGAAGAAGAACTCCTGAAGGACAATATATTTGGTTCTGATTAGTCAAACACCTTAGATTCTTGCTCCAAGGTGCATTGTGGAAGGTAGTGAATTCACTGCTCAATTTCATATTGGAGGGACTGAAGTGAGGGCCTGATTTCTAAATAGCTTTTTCTATTGACCTTTGCAGCTGACCACCCAGGGCACTCAGTTGTAGCACTGTTAAGCACCTATGGAATGTTTGTTCTGTGCTTGGGAAGATTTTTCTTAAATCAGGAGCAGTATGAATAAGATATTTTTATCCCCAGAGAGGTTTGGGGGGTTTTGCAATATCTGAAAATTAAGCACACCCGTGACATTTTTTATTTGCTTATATAAAATTAGTTTTCATTGGTATGAAATACAGAACAAAGAACGACATATCTTTAGCTCATCGTTTCTAGAAAGTTTTTCTTTTAAAAAATTGTCTGCTGCAACATGCATGTTTGTATATCTGGATTCAGGAAAGTTGATGGGTTTTTGCTTATGAGAAGAATTTTAGGGTGAAGATCACTGGTTCTCTATATTCTGTCCATTCTAAACTGGCTTTGGCTGAGAAGAAACACTTGAATTTCTTTCTAAAAGGTAAATTTTCAGGTAGATGTTGGATCTTGAAAGCAGGAACTTGGCAATAACTCTCTGCTCAAACATACTTATAGCATTGCTACTGTGATGTCAAAGAAAACCTTTCAGCCCTACATGACCAGCCTGACTTGAGCTGTCAGCACCTGCAGTACTGCCCCCCAACACATTGCCTTGGCTGAGCTAACAATTTTTTCTTAACACTTCCACCAGGAAGTGTTTTTATACATCTATTTTTATACATCACCTAGATGTGCATCACTAAGCAAAAGTATAAATATCTGGAAAAATTAACTCAATCTCAATTGTGTCCTCATAAAGCTTCACAGAGAAAAGCACTTGAAAAAACATTGCCTAGTTGTCTTTTTATAGACCAATTTTTAATGAACTTTTTTTTCTTCTTACACTTTAAATCAGTTGAAAACAGACTGTGTGAAATGTACCTCCTGTTACATAGTACTACCAAGCTCTGGAGTAGCTGAAATGACAGCATGCATGGGTAGCTGCCGTGCAGAGAACTCCAGGCAAATGTGCACACAACACAAATTTCACAAATTCGGGTCCCGATTCAACAAAGTCCCTAAAACATGAGCATAATATTAAGGATACGAATAGTCCCAGTGAAGCCAGTGGAATTATGTTCCCTCTAGTTCAGGGCTGTATTCTGAGGCACATGTGCACAAACAAAGCCATAGAAAGCCCCATCTATCTTTCAAACAGCCGCCGCTGACAGCTGCTGAATGCGGACAAGTATGCCCAGTGCCACTCCGGCTTCTGCCGGCGTTATTGCTTGTGTCACCCCGGCGTGAGGCCAAGGGAGCACTGGCAGCTGCTCTCGAGGGCCAAAGGAGACTGTAATGAACAGGAGGGAAGCAGGCAGAAGGGCCACATGGAGCTGTAAGGAGCAAGGGAGAGAGATGTGTTGGCTGCAATAAATCCCCTCTCTGGAGCCATAAAACTTGGATTTTTCTGTTAATAGGGCTCTGAGTTCCTCTGTAATGTCATCAGGAAAAATTACAGCATTTGAGATGAAGAAAAGAAAGCATCTTGAAGGTCTAGGCTTCAAACTAATTTGACCAGATTGTTTCTTTATTAAGATAATATACTCTTAAATACATCAGAATATACTGATTTCTATATTCTGTTCCCTTAAAAGCATACAGTCTCTTCCTAAGCTCATCTACATATACTAAGAGAGGAGGACTGGAACAAATATCTATCATAGCAATCTCTGAAGAGATACCTGATGTAGGGTTGTAATTCACCACAGCATGGAGCAGTTAGCCATGTGCCTCTAGCATCCCTGTCCCCTTAGGGAAGAATCAGATAAGGCTGCCAGGGCCTCTACAGTCAGACTCAATCTTATCTGAAGACTGTAGATATACGTCTTGAATGTATAGTGTGAAGAAACTCTACCCATGCTGTATTACCCTTGTTTTCAAAGGAAATTAGGTCAATGTTGTTGTGTTTTGTAATTGCATGTGCATCCACACCCTCTCTTCACACCCCAGCACCATCAGAACGTAAGAACCATCAGAACTTTGGCTGGTTCTGACCAAATTTGGCAGAGGGGCAATAGGCCCAAAGACACAAGCTCCTATGGTTCTGTGAAGGAAGACAGCTGCCCAAGGAAGGGAGATCCACCTGAAAGAAAGGCAGGAGTGTGTGTTCAGCCCTTCTTCCACATGGAGAATCTGTGTGACAGAGGAAGGCTCAGAGTGCTCAGCTGTGACAGAGGCTTGCTCAGCAAGTCTCTCAGTACCAGAGACACCCACCAGTCTGTAGGATGCCAAGCTCCTGCAGCCCTACTGACCAGGAAGCTTCCAAAAAGGAGAAGGCACTGGCTGGAAGATAATGATACTTATCAACTGATTTAATATATTTAGACTGGTAAAATCTTAGCACTTGTCACAGTTTTAACTTTCTAAGGTAGGTCCTGGGCTCCACCTGACAGTGCTGCTCAGCCTGCCCACTGTACAGCGGGGGGAAGATAAAAGCAAGCATATTCTGCACATCAAGCTGGTTCAGTTGCAGTGCCGAGCGTGGACCTGCCTGAGTGCAAGTGGAGCTGTCAGCTCCTACAGGCTTCACTGTCAAGGGCTGTGTCATCTGTCAGTGTCGGTTCCAGCTCACTGTACCACATAGAGGCGATGCACTGGTGCCTCCCAATTGATAACACGCTGCCAGAAGCATGTTACTTTCTCATCTGTCTTCTTGTAGCTGTCAAAACTGGAATCCATTAATTAGTTTGTTGTTGTGAATTTTATTTGTTCCGAGGACATGTAAATTTCAAAGTAAGACACAGGGAAAAAAAAGAAAAAAAAAAAGCAACCAACAAACCAGGAGGAAGATGCCAATGGGGGGTTCACAAGCCCTAAGTGGCAGCTATTATGGACGGTAAGTGCTGGCTACAAGAGCCCCGTCTAAGTGGGCATAATGATGTGGCTAGTTTCACCACATTGCTTTTAATGAGACTGAGCTGCTTACAGGGGGCGAGATGTAGTGACAGCTAAGGAAAGGCAAGAACGCAGGGCACAAACCAGGAAAGTCAGCTGGGTTAAGAAGACTCTGTTTGTTGTTTGTGTGAGGGCTTTTTCATAATTTACATTGTTACTTAGTGGAGGGAAGGTTTGACTGTGCTTCATTTTCCCATATTTTACAACTCATGAAAGACGTACTGTGATTTCAGAATGAGATTTTGCCAGCTCTGTGTTAAAAATGAGATGCTAGCACTTGAGAGCACAATGCTATCTCTGAGCAGAGCAGCAGTTCCACTGAAATTTCAAATATTGAATAAGTTTATTTTTATTTTACACAGGTGTTTTTGTCCACTCTCACTTTTTCATGGTGTCACAAAGAGACTTAAGGTAAAAGTTTCAGAAGCTCCCCAAGTGAGTCTTCCAAAGTGAGTCTGCATGACTGGAGAAACAATGGGACCTTAGTGCAGCTAAGTGTTGTGTAGCTATGAAATGGCAGCACATGAGCACAGCCTTGGAACCAGCCTCACCACAGGCACCAGGAGAGCTTGTGAGCTCCCTCACAGACACACAGGCACCACCAGGCAGAGGCAGACTCAGGCAGATGCTGCTGCAGCCTGAGCTGAAGCAGTCATCAGGATTTTCCAAGCCATCGCTGCCACACGCTGCCTTGTTTCTAAGCTCAGTCACTTTCAAATTTGTAATCAAGCTCATGCACTACTTAGTATTTCCTGAAGTTCCCACCATTAGGAATATAACACCCTAGCTAACTTCAACTTGGCTGTCTCTCTTTCTACAAAACCCTACAAGGCAAACTTCCTATAGGAAACCATGTATTAAATGTTTTGGTACTCTAATTCCCTCTAATGGAAGGGCAATTTGCTAATACTGTGACTAGACGTGATTTGTTTTAACATTTTCTTTAAAGAAATGACAAAATACTTTCCTAGATTCTGTCCTCAAAATAGCTGCTTCTCTCTGAAAAATCAAGATATCTCCTTCTTTTTGTCCTAAATTATGCCAGCCAAGGGCATATAAATATATTGGCCCAACGTAAAAGGTAGGACTATATATTAACAGATAAGACAAACCTGCTTCCAGGAAATCAGATCCTTTCTTTGCTTTTGCAGTGGTTACAGAAAAGGAAATGAAGTCCAAATTTGCAATTCAACAAGGTTACTTCGGTGTCAATAAAATACCTTTCATCAACGCTTTATGGCCATTGTACTTGGATATCTTCATTTGCATGCATTTGCCTCATGTGGCAATGCTCACTTTCCTAGGTATGTGTTCATCTTTTTTAATATCCATTGAAAATTTGGCTCAGAATCAACTCTTTAGTGGTTTAAGTTCATCCGCTCACACAGGTAATCCATGAAAGAACAGGTATTTTAAATGCTCCTCAGAGAAATAAATTGCTGCTTTATGTGTGGTTTGGGTGTTTCAGGTACTCCCATAAAGAAAAATAAATACTGTTTATGATCACTGGGTATGTACTTGTATATCTGAAGTCCTGAAATCTTACACCCTGGATGACGATCTCAATGTTATATGCAGGAATGGAGTGTTTTAACTTTGGCAGAGCTGTTGCTGTTACCTGTGCCTTCAAAGCCACCCAAATCTGGCCAGAGCAGCAGTTTGCACACAGTCAGATCCGGGGCTGGAAGAAAAAAGATAAAAACCAAATATTTGCACTGTGCCAGGAGGAAAGGAACAGCCAAATGCAGCCTCCTTGGTTCTGCTCTTTGCTTCTGCACTCAGGGGTATCAATGCTCCCCTTCTCCTCACCTGCACACTTAGAAGACAAGGCAAGTGTTCACCTGCCTGTCTCTACCAGCTGAGCTCCAGCAGGCTGGCAGGCAGGGTCCTTCCCAGGCTGTTCATCTGCTTGGGAAATAGAAAAAGCAGGAAGCTGCATTTGCATCCTCCTGGCTGGGGGACAAGGGTTACCCCTCTGGGTGAGAAGAAAGCACCAAGGAGCTATGAGGAAGCAAGCACCAAAATGCCTCTCTAGGGGGCTGCCTAGACTTGGCCTGTTACAAGCAACTACATTTTTATTCACTGCAGTGATGATGTGGGGCCCCTGTATTGCAGGTGCTCGTAAAAATAAGCAACAGCTACTGTGGATATTTATTGCCTTATTTTGGGAACCTTATCTCTCAAGTAGCAGCAAAGAGAGTCATTTGAATACAGTTGCTGGCTGAGATGCACATGAAATCAGAAGTATTTTTTGGACAGAGTCTTTTTAATGTTCATGGCACTACAGGACTTTCTGGAGAGGGATGGGACAGAGGTGCACTTGAGGGGTGGCTGGCGAGCAGCAGCCACCTGGCAGGGTGCTTTGATGGGAGCCCCAGTGCTGGCAGACAAGACCCAGAACTGTGAGGCTGCTTCTTCATCCCTCATGCCCCACAGGACATCTTACCTATGGGTCTTGTAGGGGTCCTAAAGTCCATGACATCTTTGCCCAGAGTCAGTGTCAAGCTTTGCCTCTGTGTGCAATGGAAGGTTTTTAAGAGAGTCCTCTTCAGTGGGGTTTGTCCTGGGACATTCTGCAACATGGGAATTATAACATTTACAGCTAGATTAATCTCTTCATGTATCGCCTAGGTCAGCAATCAATGATATAACCAATTGTTCTGTTGTAGAAGGTGGAAACTAGATTGCCCTAAAACAGCCTCACCTCACTTCCCCCAGGAATAGAGAGGCATATACCCCCAGCTGGTAGTTTATAATAAAGTCCTTCAGGAGTGCATTTGCCTATGAATACTTAAAGAAAGCTTCTGCTTTCTGCGGTGGATAGAAATTCATACTTTTATTCACACTTTTTTCTTAATGACCTTCTGCCATAAGAGCAATTTGCTTAGTCCACTCCAGGTGATTTTGCATGATTTGCAAATCTAATTTTTATCTTCACGTCTCAGATTTGAAAATTTTTTGCCACCATATTAATTTAACATTTTTATCTTTTACCTACCCAGACAGCTCATCGTGACCTTTAAATTCACTTACAAAGGATAACCCATTGGTTAATCTGGACCAATTGGCCTCAGTTACAGACTTGGTGACAAATCATTATTTCTACTCCAGCTCTTTAATTGGCCAGAATGCTCTTTTTTATCAGATATATTAGCTGTCAGAAGTGTCTGCTAGCCTTTGCGTACTTCCTGGATGGTGTCCAGGTCATTAAAGCAACATCTTCTGTTCAAGTCTGGAATATTTATCCTGTGCCAAAATCCTAACTTTCTCCCTGCTTTTAATTAATTAAAGCCTGAAGAATGCTAGATGGGTCATTCTACAGGCAAGCCTTTTGAAATAGGAAAACTGATACAAAATGTTTAATGCTCCTTTTTCTTTTACTCGTTCAGCAGTTTTGCTTCACAAATCACAATTTTATACTATTTAAATTTCATCTGGTTGAAGTATTTTACTTTTATTTCTGCTGAATTATTTTGCATGACAATAAGGCAGGCACAGTTTCATGGGCAAAGAGGGAACAGCAGGAACCGGAGGTGCTGTAACCCCAGCATATGATGGGAGAGCAGCATCCCTCTCTGTAGTCATCCCCCCCTGCATAAAGGGATGAAGTCTCACCGGGAATGAATCCTCTGACAATCAGAACCAGCTCCTGAAGGAAGAGGACACCCCACAACTCTGGCCAGTTCTCACAAACCTCTCCACACCTGCCTGCAGGGAGCAGCCAGACAGCTGAACCTCAGCTCCCCTGTGGCGCAGCACCTGATGCAGCCCTGCAAGGTGCTCATGCACTATCTGCACAACTAGAATATGTGACCCACTACCTTTCTGTATTTAATGTCTAATGGAGATGCTGGTAACATTAATAGTCCTTCAACCCTTGCGCTCCCAGAGCAGTAACATCAAGATTTTGATTGCCTTGGTACCATAGATATTGTATTCACCAGACAAGGAGACCTGGTTAAAATAAACCTTTACAGTGAAAATTTATTTATTATTTTATACCACTGTGTTTATTGCCATTCATAGTCTGTATTCTCTATCAGTGACTCACAACAGAACAAAGGACTTCTTGAAAGGAGATGTGGTTAAGTGTGGTGATTTCTTAATTTGTATTGTTCCTTGAAGACACATCTTGTAATATCTCTTGATATTTCCTTTATGCAAGTCTTCAACATAAAATTCCAAACTCATCCTATGATAAAAATGGATTGACAGTCTTCAAAATGTCAAAAGTTTATTCCAGTTTTGTCATTGTTATGTGAACTTGAAAATTGACCTACCTCGGTGAAGATCTGTTTTGTTACAAATATTTCTTGCAGCTTCATGTTCTTCCAGCTGTAATACTAACACTCTGTGAATTGTAAGACTGGTGTCTAAAGGTATGCCAAATGGAGATGTTATTTGAATGGCAAATGATGAAAAATTAATGTAATGTTTCTATTTTTGCTTCGTGTTTTTGGCTTATAGAGCAAAATCAATGTATTTTAAAAGTAATTTTTTTTTGCTGGTTCTCTGCTTTCTGTGTATGTTCCTTTACATATTTATTTCTTATTTTGATTTGGATAATCTTTGAATAGTTGAAGAACATTTCTGGGAGAGCAATGTTCCTGCTTTGCTGTTTGACCAGTGATCTGCCTTCACTATTGTCTGGATTTTTTCCACACTAAAAAAAAAAAAAAAAAAAAAAGAAAAAATAAAAAAAGAAATGTTTTTCAGGCAAAACAACACCCTTAAGTAAAGTCACGGGGGCCACATGACCTGAATGAGGCAGAAGGGCCCTACTAGACGCGCTCCCTATTGAAACCTGCAGTGTCACCTATCAGCAAGCTCTTCAATCCCCAGCCTACAGTATGTTTAAATGCTGTGTAAATACAGCTTCTGCACTTCCATTTATCTTTGTCTCGCCTCTGCCGAACAATGCTGGGAGCAGCGGGGAAGGGCAGAAGGCTGGGCCGGGAGCGCGTCTGGCAGCGGGCTGATGGAAGCGCTCGGGAGGTGAGCGCCGGCCTCGCTGATGGAAAGGGGGTCCTGCGGTTCGCAGAGCCCGTCTCACACCTCCTGCCACAGGCTGCGAGGGTTTTCAAGCCTTCTGTGGGTTTTTTTTTTTTGTAAGGTGAGGGTCAGAAGATGCAGGTGCATGGATCCCATTCAGGAGGAGGCCCTTGACGTGCGTTTATTCTCAAGGAAGGATTTTGCTGTAGCTCAAAATGAACTGTATCTCAGCCATGCTTTTGATTTTTCTCCCATACATTATAGTATATGTAAGTCTCTCGGAACTGCCTTTCATTTTGGCATCTAAACCTGATGCAGAGGCTCTTTCTGAATTCTATGAATTCTACGTTTTTTAAAAATTCTATTCTGTTTTCTGATTTTTCTAAATGGATAAACAGTTTTCTTAATGAGACTGTTTCAAAGGTGGCAAGATCAGACTTTAAAAATTAGTATTGCAAAAATCAACCTTGCATTTGAAATGTGAAGATGCATCTTTGAGGGTGTCTTGCAAGTTCAGAAAAATCAAAAAAATTTGGACCAAAATACCAATGTGAATAACATTTAGAAAATACAACAATATATAAAAAATAAAGCATACCAGACCCAGGAAAAAAATTAAAACACACACAGTTCCTTATGTCCATTGAGTGGGCAAGGAGAAATTAAACTTGGGCTATTGTTTAATTTTGAATTCATTATTGTATTTGCAGGGCCCCGGAAGGAAGGAAGGAAGGAAGGACGGAAGGAAGGAAGGAAGGATCAGACTCCATGTTCACAGAAGGCTAATTTATTATTTTATGATACTATATTATATTAAAGAATACTAAACTATACTATACTAAAAAATACAGAAAGGTTACTTACAGAATGCTAAAAAGATAATAATGAAAAAGATAATAATGAAAACTTTCTAGACACAGCTTGATCCTGATTGGCCATTGAGTCAAAAAACCCACAGCAGAAACCAATGAAACAATTACCTGTGGATAAACAATCTCCAAACACATTCCAAAGGAGCAAAACACAGGAGAAGCAAATGAGATTATTGTTTTCCTTTTTCTCTGAGGCTTCTCAGCTTCCCAGGAGAAAAATCCTGGGCAAATGGATTTTTCAGAAAATATGAATGTGACAATTCATAGCTTAATAGTCCTTTATATATTCTCTTTGGAAGTAAAATAGGTGTAACATGAGCACTCTAGCTCAGTGGTACCCAAAATCCAAATAGAGAATGAATAAAAAAGAAAATTAAGAAGTCTCAAGGAAATCCTCATGTCAACATACTTAACAATTCAGTTTCATAAAACCAGACTTGTATATTAGAGGGTATGTATTAATTACACTTTTAAAAGGCTTTGCATGAGAATATTCAGAATAACTGCAAAAAGCAAATCTTGTGCAGAAAAGTCACTCATCCTGCCAAATATGAAGGCACCACTCCAGACCATTTGCATTAGAGAGTTCCTCGAATAATTATTTTTTTTTTACATCAGAAGACAGTCATTCTACTAACCTGTCCTCAGAACCACCTGAGTCATTTTT